CGCCATGCTGCCCGCCGCTCCGCCCCTCCCGTCAGTCACCCCAGCCCCGCGGGGCCTGTCCGATGTAAACGTTTAACGGAGAAAGGATCGGTAGATGGCACCCGAGAATGCGCTGTTTCGGCCCGGGGTTTGTGGGAACCATACGGCCTTTTGTTGTCCTGCAAATGGCGTCCGTCGTGCCGTCTTTGCCTCAGTTTCCCCCGGCTCCCGAGGCGGGCACTGTTGGCGGCGGTTTGAGATGAATTCCTCCTCTCCCTGGGAAACCAGGCACTTAGGTTTTTAAACCAAAACTGAGGAAGCTGAATTGTAAAAACCTCCTAGGTATGGGCAATGTGGCATAGGAGGCTTACAGGAGTGGCTGTAGGACTGGGAAAAAGCCTCTGGACAGGTTTCCTGTATGAAGGGAGCAGAGCAAGGCAGTTCTGCCTGGGCAGCAAAGCTGACCCCAGGGCTCAGTTTTGCAACAGAGGCCCTATTTCCTCCTCTTGGCTGAGAGAGGGACTCCATACCAAACAGGCTGGCTGGAGTTTATTTAGAGACAGAATGGCCCTGTTAGTCCTGCAGTCATGGACAGCGTAGCCATGCTCCCTCAAAGTTTGGCCTATATGGGGATAAGCCAGCAAATTTATGCAGAAGTGCCACCATGCTAAAGAGCAGTTTCATCTTAAAACTAGGCCAGCCCAACCTAGTTATTACTAGAAGCAACAGCAGTCTGGCTTTTCTTTCTATCCCCATCCTTGGCATCCTCTTCCCTGGTGCCAGCTTTGACCTTCATTTTATAGTACAGTGAGTTGATTCAGGGAGTTAAACCAGCAGAAACCCATCCACTGTTCGCTTTTGGTTTTCCTGAGTTCATTTTCTGCCAGTTTGGTGCCTTGAATCGGTTCACTGCATGGTCAGGTGAGCATCAGCGCCAGCACGGGGCATTAGCACGAGCAATGGGCTGTGGGCTGGAGAGACGGTAGGATCTCCCGGTTTGTGGACAGTAATACGTATGTTCATTAGCTTAGCTGTAAAGTGAAGATACGCAGTAAATATGGGGAGAGTTCTGAGTGGGCAGCGATATTCAAGTGACAAGGCATCTGTTTGGAAATGACAGCAAGCCTTTATTTTGTGTCACAGAGACGAGGAGGAGAGGGAGGTTAAGGACCTCACTTAAGCATTATTTATTTTATTCATTAGTGGCTATTGCGGGTTTACCCTGAGCCTTTCTTCTTCCCTTTCCCTCGTCTCTAAAGTTCCCTTTGTCTTGAAACTCTGGACCTTGTTTTAAACCCTTGCTATGCCTTGAGCAGGATTTATTGTTTGTCAGGGCACCCAAAGGAGGTCATTTAGCTTTGGGTGGAGGCTGAAACTGCTGTTGTTTAAGTTTTCCAAGAGAACCCCTAGATAAATGAATCCAGCTCTTTCAGCTGCTGCCAATTC